TGTGGGCCTCACACCCAAACCTGGGACCAGGCCAGGTGGAGGCTTCTGCCCGTTTCAGGAATCCTCGGACTCCAGGTTGCGGCAGAGGGGATGAGAGCAATGAATTCTCTTGGCTAGATTTGGAGGAGTCATCCCATTGGGGAGGCAACAAGGGATAAGGGAAGTAGGCCCAGGTGGCGTTCATATCTTGGCTTGGGGGTTACCTGGCTGTGCTGGGTGGCACTGAGCATGTGGCTTTGTCCCCTACCCCCCAGGCCCTCAGTGGTCTCATCTGTACAGTGAAGGGCTCTGGCGTTTGAAGGGGCTGAGGCCCTTCTCCAGCTTTGGTCTTTGACCTGGTGATTCAGGGGAAATGTCCAAACGTGCAACAGATATGTGCTGTGTATAGTGAGTACTGGGCAACTGTGATCTGGACAGGCCCTTGGTGATAGGAGATAGAAGAGAGGTGAGAACCTCTGTGACCGTGTCAGCAGGAAGTCACTGGAACGAATGCTGTTAGTGGGGAGAAGGCAAAAAAAAAGGGTGAGGCCATGTGCCCAGGCCCAGCCACGTGAGAGGCGGCCCATGTGGATCGTCAGGGAGGGAGCTGCCAGCCACCCTGCTCTCTGGTGTTTCTCAGCCTTTGAACCTGAATCCTTGCCCTGCGGCCCTCCTCACCAGTCTGGGCACTGAGAGTAGATGTTCTCCTATGTTGTCCCCGAGTGGCAGCTGTGGCTTGTTTTACCCAAGACTCTGGTGGGGAGAGAGGGCATCTCACCTTTCTTCTGCAGTGAGAAGTGGAAATTTGGGGATGGATGGATGCCCACTTTGCCATTCAGATCACAGTGCTCTTCCCCCAGAGGCAGCATCCTGTGGGACATAGGAGACAGCAGTGATCTGGGACCCTGGAGGCATCCTCTCTCTGGTCCTCAGTCCCCTCATCTCCAATGGGAGATTGATCTAATGGAGTTTAGAGTCAGAAGGGGTCTAAAAGGTCACTTGGTCCAAGGCTCACTCTGTGTGGGAATCTGCCCCAGCTGTCCCTGAGGAGTGCCACACAGCTTCTGCTGGAACCCCCTGGAAGTCAGGGTACCTTACCTCCCGGGGCCCATTACCTAGTCGAAGCTGTTAGAGCCTACACTCATTGATCTTTTGTTCTATAAGTATTTATTAAGGGACACTCTGGGCTAGTGTCCCTCTCAGGGCCACCAGTTGATGCAGAGGTGCAGCTTTAACTTTCGAGGCACCCAGTCTCATCAATGCACGCTCTGTCGCGGCAGCTGCAACTGCCGTGTGTCAAGCACCATGACAAATGCTGGGCACCACTTGTCTCACGTGAGCTTCGTCACCACCTTCATGGGTCTGCATGCCTGTCCCCATTCTACATGGAGGAGGTAGAGGCTCTGGAGCTAATGTACCCACGGTAGTCAACTTGTCAGGGGTGGAGTGAGGAGCAGACCTAAGTCTAGGTGGGCTCTCTGCCTCCATCCTGAGCTCTCAGGCTCTGTGCCTTCCCCTGAGGTACCTGCTCTCAGTTGCCCTGCATGTAAAATGAGGATAATTCCATCTGCTTGTTGGATTTATTATAAGCTCTAATCAAACTCATGCATAGGAAGCACCTAATTTGTAGTTGCTGACACCCAGTTCTGGTTTGGTAAGTGGTGGCCAATCACTACTACAGTGGGCCCTGCCCCTTACCATTCCTTCCTCTGTGTGTCCCAGCAAGGCCACTTCACCTCTCTAGGTCTCTGTCCCCTTTCCTCTGGAGCATGGGGTTATGGTCCCTGCTCCTGAGGAGGGATGCTGTGGCCAGAGTGAGGTCAGAAGTGGCGAGGGCCTTTTCCTCCAGGCGGGGAGCGCTCCCTCGGCTGGTGGCATCAGGCTTTGCAGAACTCCAGCCCTCTCCTCTGCCTGCCACTCCCCCAGTCCTGCCTCCCATGCCTGTAATTAAGCTCAAAACATCCAGTGTAAGCAAATAATAACAAGGGCATTATCTCTCTTTTGTCTGTGTTTTTCTTTGCCTATCATAAAGTAATTAAAATAATGAATGCCTTGTAAAACAATAGGTAAGAGGGCTGGCAAGAGAGCATTATCTGCCATATACCATTTGTGCTGTGAATTATTAATGCACTGAAACCACTGTGACTGGAGACGACTTCCTGCCTCCCAGCACTTTTCTTGCCGGCTCCCACATCCAGGGTCTGCCAGGCAGCTGCAACCCTGAGCTCCAGGAGTTGAGGATCAGAGAGCTAGCCCTTCATTCACCCTGGTCGCGGCCTCGGGCCAGTTTAGAAAGTCCCAGGGAGGCACTGCTGAAGAGGAAACACAAAAGCCTCTCATCTGCGGGCCTTCTCCCTGCCCCATCTCTTCCCGGTCCACTCCACGTTCTCTAGTTCTGGAAGAAACAGTTCTGGGCCTGGGTGACGCGAGGGCTAGGAAGGGGCTGGGTGTTAAGATCCATGTCCTATTTCAGATAATAGCAGGGATGATCAAGGGTCATTAGGAGTAGTGGTTCTCAAAGTGGTGTTCCCAGACCAGCAGCGTCAATATCACCTGGGACCTTGTTAGAACTACATGTAGCGGGGTAGGGCCCAGCATCCTGGGTTAGCACACCCTGCAGGTGGTTCAGATACCCTCTCAGGTTTGAGAGCCACTGCTAGAGTGTGAGGGGCTGGAGGATAAGTGGGAGGCTGTGGGACTCATTAAATTGAATGTGTATTAAGTGTCCTGGGGTGCTGTTTAATCCCCACGGTGGCTGTGGGCGGGTAGTGTTGTCCCATTTCGCAGGGCAGGTCCCACCGAAGCAGGAGAGCTGGTCCTACGCCTTCAGTTACTAAGGCTGACCCTGGATGAGGGTCTCCTCTTCCCCGACCCCCACCTATGCAGTCTTTATATGGCCGAGACATGGTCCTACCCCACCCCTGAGACCGGCCTTAGGTGGCCCAGGCAGCGGGCTCCACAGATATCAGCAGGTGGCCCATAAATATACCCACCTTGTGCCCACTCCCACCCCACCCCCACTTCCTGCATCCTCTTGGACTGTGTGTGGAGTCCTCTTGCACTCCACATGGCCCAGCACACTTGGAAGTAAAACATGAGCACCCCGGGTTGCTGGTGCTGCTTCTCTCTTCCTAGCTTTCCCGAGCCTGGGGTGGCTGGAGGGGCAGAACCAGGCATCAAGAGCAGCTTTCTGCCAACCTGCAGGTTGCATAGAGCAGCGGTCCCCAACCTTTTTGGCACCGGGGACCAGTTTTGTGGAAGACAGTTTTTCTACGAACCAGGGTAGCGGGGATGGAATTGGGATGATTCAGGTGCATCACATTCAAGCTCACCTCCTGCAGTGCAGCCCAGTTCCTAACAGGTCCGTATCTGTGCCAGTCTGTGGCCTGGAGGTTGGGGACTCCTGCCCTGAGGGATGACTCTCCCATCTAGACTTCCAGCTCTCCTTTCCTCACTCTGCCCCACCCTCTCTCACTGCAAAGATTTTTACCTCTGCCTTTGGTTTTTGCCCTCTCTCTCCAATTCACAGTGATCCCCAGGGTCAGTTTTCTTTGGAAATTAATTCTGGTGTTATAAATGATGAATATAATTGTGCTGGCATCTTTTAAAACATCTATAGATCTGCAAAAAAAGAAAAAATCTCAGTAGGTATTTGAGTAAGGGGCTCAGCTCAATTAAATTTAAATTTTAGAGAAATAATGGATACATTTTTAGTATAAGTATTTCCCGTGCAGTATTTGGGCTCATACTTATACTAAAAATTTATTTGTTGTTTATGTGAAATTTCAGTTTCTCTGCCTGTCTTGTGTTTTATTTGGCAACCCTAAGCCCAGGTTTCATAGTCAGTGAGGGGCTGATACTCATAACTGTATTCATTCATTCATTCATTCATTCGTTTGTTTGTTCGTTCGTTCGTTCGTTCATTCATGTTTATTGAGCCAGCTCTATTCCAGGCACTCATTTGGCACTCAGGATACAGCAGTGGTGGAGAGGCAGACAGTAAATGAAATAAGTGAATTATAGAGTATATTAGAGGTTTTAAATGCCATGGAGAAAAATAAAGCAGAAAGGTTATTATGTTGGAAGGCAGGGTTGCAATTTTAAAAGGGTAGCCAGAGCAGACTTCATTGAAATAGTAATATTTAAGCAAAGACTTGAGAGTAGTAAGGGAACAAGCTGTGACCCTTTGTGGGAGAAGTGTATTTGTGGGAAGAGAGCGCACATTGTGTGCAGAAGAGTTTCATTTAAGGCCCAGTGTGGGTCTCAGTTATCTGATGATGTCAGCCCTGTTTCCTCAAGCACATTTTGGGCCATGAAGGGTAACTTATTGTCTCTTGTATATGAAAAGGTCTGCGATGGATTTTGGGCATAGCTGGATTTCAGGTGTTCAAATGATGACATCAGCATTTCATCACTTCTGCTCTTCTCTCTGCTGCCTTCATTCTCAGGGAAGGATTACCTTTCCTAGTCTTTCCAGCAAAAGTCTCGGGCTTGAGTTTTGTTGGGTTGGGCACACATCATGTCACCATCTGTGGCCCAGTCACTGTTGCCAGGGAGATGGAAAGCCATGACTGAGCAGTCCCCATTCCTGGAGCCAGCCGGGGTCTGACAGTCCCTCTGTGTGACAGACACAGAGGGAGATGAGGTGGGGATTTCCTTACTAAGAGGATTGGGCACACCTGTGAGAAGGGCCTGAAGGCTGGGCAGGTGGAGACCCCAGTCAAGACACTTTTCCGCTTTTCCTCTTAAGCTTTGTGATTTTGTTTTCTTTAAAATGGGAAGAGAAGTATCTCATTCTTTCTTTTCAAAGATATTTTAAGAAGAAATAAATAAAAGATTATTTTATAAAAAGATTTAAAAAAAAGAAAAGACCACAGCCAAAACCCATTCCTTTGTTCCTAATCCTGTCTCTTCAAGCCAGTTCCTATGTTAGCTGAGGACCCTTTGATTTTGGGGGAGAGGTTGTGTTTTTAAAATGCTCTTGGTCCCTATGCCTCAACCCTTGTTCTCTCTCTTGTCAGGAGGCCCAGAAGATTAACAATGGCTCAAGCCAGGCTGATGGCACTCTCAAGCCAGTGGACGAAAAAGAGGAGGCAGTGGCAGCCGAGGTCGGCTGGATGACCTCTGTGAAGGACTGGGCGGGGGTGATGATATCTGCCCAGACACTGACCGGCCGAGTCCTGGTGAGTCCTCAACTTCTTCCTCACATAAGGAGGCCTGCTGTCTGGTCCACGATCACTTTGTTGCTAGGGGTGTGATGTGTCACGGGGTCTTCTCCAGGCCACTGGCTATTGGGAGATGGGGCTAACGGGGAGTGCTTGTGTATGGTCATGGAGGACTGGCTGGGTTCATGCGTATCTAAGCCAGTGGTTTGCAGAGTGGGCTATCGTCTGGGGCACAGAGGGTCTGTTGGGGAGGGGCTGGGGAGTTCTGAGTGTGTATGTGTGTGTGTGTGTGTGTGTGTGTGTGTGTGTTTGCTGGCCTCCTGGGGATGTTACTGTTGTCCTCTGAATGCTAAGCAGAGAACCCCTTTTGGGAGGTTTCCTAACCTCCTGCCCTGTATGATCTGGATCCTTCCCATGGTAGACATCCTCAGTCATGCTGTGTGAAAATCATCGATAGCCCACCCGAGGCTGTCTGGCCCTGTGCTTGGAGCATTGCTCCTGCGACCTTATTTCTGATGAGGCTGTATCCTGCCCCATCTGCAGCCAGGGCTTATCCTGTCCCTTCTCAGTGCATTGCCTGCTTTCTCTCTATGCTTGGCTTCACTGACTGGCCTCATGGCCTTCTGCTTCTTGGCAAGGAGCATAGGTGAGTCAAGCTTGTAGTGACCAATCATGCCAGTTTGCCTGGGCCTGAGGGGTACCTTGGACGTGGGCCTTTCAGTGTGAGGTTAGGAGAAGTCTTTAGACAAACAAACACAAATTGGTCACTGGCCAGGCCATGCCCCTGACATATGTGGACCCTTTCTTTGGGGTAGCCCTGCCTACTGGCTTTCTTGGGTCTACTCTGGGTAAGGAATATTCCAAATATTCTCAAATATTGCATTCTGATTAATTTCTTATTATAATTCTAGAAGCGGTTTTTATGGGCCGCCCTTCCTGGTCCTGAAGCTGGGGCTTGGTCAAAAGTCATTTGGCTCTTAGATAGTGAATGGTGACATCCTGACGTCTGAGTGGATCAAAAATCAGGCAGGGATACTGGAAAATAGATATTATCACCCTTGACCTTCCATGGAAAAAAACTGAACGAGGTGGTGACTGTAGATATAAGGAGGTGGTGAAAATTTCATCCATCAGAATCCTTCTAGGGGAGAAATGTACTTCATGTTTGGGGAAAGTATCTTACAAACAGCTTGAAGGAAGGAATAAGACACTGAATGTCATGCTTGATCACAAAGTTGTTGGCCAAACAGCTTTCAAGGGGAGACAGAGTTCTGTTATTTGAGGGGCCCATCATGAGCTGAGCCTTCTGAAAGTCTAGTTATGAAGCTGTGGCTGATGTTAGTTGGTAGCAAAATAGAAAAGGGAGACATTTAATGTTGAGATTTTGGGGGAACAGGAGAGAGAAACTGGTGAAGACGGTTGCTGCATGGAGGAAGATAGGAGGTTTTCCAGGTTGATAGGACCAGGGAAAAACTGGGCAGCCCTGGGTATCTAATGAGGTAGTGAAGGTGGCACAGCTGTGGGCTGTGCTGTGGAACCCCTACCCTTATCATCCCCCTACCCTTCTCCTGCCCTGCCAAAGTGTCCAGTGAATCTCCATTGTTCTTCTGTGCTTGCTTATGAGTAGATTCCACTTATGAAACCTAAAGGTGTTGAATTCTTGGTCGGGGATTCACGTGGGACCAGTGGAGGCAGTGCCTTCTATATGTATGGTTGTGGTGGTGGATGAAGAGCAGCAGAGAGTTTGGTTACACAGATGTGTAACCCCCACGGCTTCCACATGGTCACTGTGGACAGTTCTGATTATCTCCAGCAGCATCAGCTAAAGGTTACCAAGCACCAAGTCTAGGTCAGGTGTTCTTTTCAGCCCCGTGGAAAACAAGGCGTGATCCTGATTTCATTGCACTATGGATGGAAGTTATTGAAGGACTGTCTGGAGAAATGCTAGGAGTACAAGCGTTGTGTGAGTGTGTTTTGGTGTGGGGAGGTCAGTATGGGGAATTTGAAGGGATCAAGAAAGCCAACATAGGGAAGAAAGGCTTTGAGCTGAAACATCCATTTCAAGATGGACCAAGCACGTACTTGTGATAAAAAAAAAATAAAAACATACCTGAGCTTGAAAACAAGGGACCATTTAGTGGGCCAGAAACTGAATGCCTAATAAGACAGTATTTGAATTGAGCTTTGAAATGTGAGTTAGGATCTTGAGCCTCAAAGCAGAGGAAATTGTTTCAGAGTGAGGAGCAGTAGGAGCAGAGAAGGGCTGCTGCATTGACGGACTGAGGCCCGAGGCCCGAGGCCCGAGGCCCGAGGCCCAGGTCCAGGCTGTCAACACGACGGCACTCCAGGGGAAGTAAGCCTGGGAAGGTTGGTTGGAGACAGCTTGTCGGCTCTTCAGGTGCCAAGCAAAAGAATTTGGATGGAATTTTGTAGGAAAGGAGATTTTGAGGGAAAGGTATTATGATTGGTGGTTGTGCAGGGAGAGGGAGTGGACAAATGGAGACCAAATTCATGAGGTGGGGAGCTCAGAGGTACTAGGATCAGTTAGCATAGTCAGCTCCCAGCACCTGTGATGGCAGCGGACCTGGTGAGGCAAGGCCTGAACTAACACCAAGCTGTGGAAGCAGGTAGGTGGATGTGGGTGACATTTTAGATGTGGAATCACAGGCCAAGTGCACCCAGCACCCACCTTGATACTACTACTGAAATAACATTACCGAGAGCCTCTTGTGGGCCAGGCACTATGCTTTATCCTGCATCTTATAATTAGATTGAAGGGTAAGGACCATATCAATTTTTTTTTATCTTGCATTTTGTTGTGGTGTTGTAGGGATTCATTACAAGGGAGCAAGCAAGCCAGTGTAATCAATGAATTTATTTCCACTTTATAGTTGAAAAAACCAAAACATAGGAAGGGCAATGACTTGCTGAAGAATATGTACCCTCCAGGTTAGTTCCTGCAGGCCTCTGGACTCCCTGTCTAGTGCTCTTTCTGTGTCATTACTTCTAAGTTGAAGATAATGCCTCTTCTTTTGTAAGCCACTGCCAGCTGTCACTTTGGCTGTGACATTTTGACTTTACTGTCTCTGAGCCAATTAGGTCCTAAGGCTACTTGGCTGGATTCTCTTAACATTTGCATGGACAAGCACAACCTGCTCAGTCCTGCTTGCCCAGGAAGCCAGATGCTCTCCGAAGGTCTCCTTGGGGAAAATCCTGTCCGGGCTGCTCTGGCGCACTGCGAGCAGAGCAGCTCCCCCTGCACAGAGGGCAGGCATCCCAGGGTTCCAGAGCAGGCTTCTGCTCTAGGAGAACGCATGTCCTTGCTCTGAGCAAGGAACACATTTCACATTGGAGCCTCCGTGCCTGCTCAGAACCCAAAGTTGCATCTGTCTGGAGCTGCCCCAGTGTTTATCCTTCCAACAATGGGACTAAAAGCAAGATTGGACACCCAGCTGCTCAGAGTTTCCCTTTTCAATTTTTAATTTGTTTTCCTTGACGCATGGCTCTGGATCTTAGACTCCACATCTGGGCCCCCCTTTCACCTGTCCCACTGCCTCAGGTGAGAGAGCCTCAGAGCTGGGGCCTTGTGGATAAGGCTCAGCTGGGGAGCGAAGCGCCAGGACAGCCTAGGCATAGCTGTGGACTCCCCTTATGCCCGGGCTCTCTCAGAGGAGCACATTGTTCATTCTTACTTATTTCTCACCTGCACCAGACACTGCTAGGCACTGGGCATAAAGCAGGGGGCACCAGAGATCTGGGCTGTGAATTATTTATAATGATAAACTCGATATAATGTTGTAGAGCTCAGTCTAAAAAATGATCAATGATTGCCACCATTGACCAGTGCTTTTTATAGAGAACACCTAGAACTTTATCATCAAGGTGGTAATTCCTTGACCAGGTCTCCAAACAGCTGGTCTTTGCCTTGTGTCTCACCTTGGCACTCACTCTTTAGCTTCACCAAAACAGTAATACTGGACAGAGCCTTCCCTTGGAGCATGTGGCTGAGGGAGTCCGTGGCAAAGTGAAACACCAGGCTATTAAGGGTTATTGCTTCTTTTATCTTTTCTTTAATTAAAAATATTTATTTCCAAAAAAATTTTTCTGATTATGAAATTTTGGAACGTACTGGAAGAATTGCTGATAAACCCCACTTTGGGTGGACTCCCAGGAGGTTGCCCACGCTGAGGGCATTTCCACATAGCCATGAATGCGTTTAGGATACCTCCCAGCTGTTTGTTTGGGCATTGTCGGGAACTTTGTTCACTGCATGTCATATTTTTCTCTCTGTGCACAGACTCGGAGGGGAAAGTAACTCATTGTGCCAGGATTTGCTGTGGTCCTCCTGGCAAACCTCTAGTGAACAGTCTAAACTGGGAGAGGGATCATGGCTCTCTTTTTGTTGTAGCTGCTTGGAGCCAAGTTGGTGGCTTATATAAAATACAGAATCTCAGGATTTGCATTCTGTGTATTTGCCTTCCCCTGGCTTCATCTCTGTGTCTCTCCTCTCTTTTTCTCTTTGTCTTGATTTCCTTACTCTTCTCTTGAACTTCCCAGGTATGGGGTTATGTAAGTGCTCCATACAGTTTTGTGAGCAAAGGCAGTGCATATAGATGAAGAAGGCAAGCTACACACTGAATCAGCTTTGGTATTGTTAGGTCATACTTTATGGAAACATAAGCCAAAATCAGTATCAGTGATAGTCTAGTTCAGGGGTAGTAAGCTGTTCTGTAAAGGGCCAGATAGTAAGTCTTTTAGGCTTTGCAGGCCAGATGGACTCTGACACAGCTACTCAACTCTGCTTTTGTAGTTTGAAAGCAGCTATCAATAATGCATGGGCATGACTGTGCTCCTATAAAAATTTATTTACAAAAACAGGTGATCGGTCAGAGTTCTTTCATGGGCTATAGTTGGCTGACTTTTGGTCTAGTTCATCTCCTTATTTTATAAATAAAGAAATTGTAAGTCAAACATTGAAAGAAATTCCTTAGAAAGGAATTCTCTGAGATAATATAGCG